GAGAACAAGGGGACACAGGTGGAAACTGAGTACTCACATGAGCCACAGAGACGTTAGAAAGAACTTTTTCAGTGTCAGAGTAGTTAGTAAATGGAATGCATTAGGAAGTGATGTGGTGGAGGCTGACTCCATACACAGTTTCAAATGTAGATATGACAGAGCCCAGTAGGCTCAGGAATCTGTACACCAGTTGATTGACAGTTGAGAGTCGGGACCAAAGAGCCAAAGCTCAACCCCCGCAAGCACAATTAGGTGAGTACAATTAGGTGAGTACACACACACACACACACACACACACACACACACACACACACACACACACACACACACACACACACACACACACACACACACACACTCACTGGCTGATCTAGGTCCCTCTGATCACTATGCTGGCCGTGGTTTACCTATGACAGTCATCAATAATTCTTATGGCCACTCTCTCAGGATCGACGCCAAGGCTCTGGTGATAACGTGGTCGGGAAGACTATTGCTTTCACTCCCCCTCAGGCTCACTTATCCATAATAAAACTGATTACACAGTTTTGGAAGAAAAAAAAGCTTCAAATTCACTTTTGAAAGTTCCAGCCTTTCTTCCGGAGATATGTATTATATTTTCCAATAGAAGGTTGAAAAGTCAAGGGCCTCAAAAATTCATAGTGTTCTCAGACAGTAATTTGGACTACTTTGCTCTTGGCTGGATATGAAGCTCACTCCTGAAGGAAGTTCTTATTTGATTGAAAAGATTTAGTCGAGTAACTTCCACGAGCTTTACCGTGGTAAAGGATCTCTGTGTAACTGCTATTTGGGTTACATCGCCTGTTGTGAAAGAGAAGGCGAGTACAGATCATAATACCAAGTGATTTTGCACACGAGATGTAAGTAATAGGATCAGGCCTGCATCCCTTTTCTTAAAGTTCTCATAATTCATCCGATCATTTTCCCCAACTGATAGAATATGTTTGGTGTGGTGTTTGGCTGTTTCTGCTATGAAACACAATTTTCATTCATATACAGATACTCTTTGGGGTCTGATTGCCACAAAATTTCACATATATATATATATAATATATATATATATATATATATATATATATATATATATATATATATATATATATATATATATATATATATATATATATATATATATATATATATATATATATATATACATATGTCGTACCTAGTAGCCAGAACGCACTTCTCGGCCTACAATGCAAGGCCCGATTTGCCTAATAAGCCAAGTTTTCCTGAATTAATATATTTTCTCTAATTTTTTTCTTATGAAATGATAAAGCTACCCATTTCATTAGGTATGATATCAATTTTTTTTTATTTGAGTTAAAATTGACGTAGATATATGACCGAACCTAACCAACTCTACCTAACCTAACCTAACCTATCTTTATAGGTTAGGTTATGTTAGGTAGCCGAAAAAGTTAGGTTAGGTTAGGTTAGGTAGATTAGGTCGTCGAAAAACAATTAATTCATGAAAACTTGGCTTATTAGGCAAATCGGGCCTTGCATAGTAGGCTGAGAAGTGCGTTCTGGCTACTAGGTACGACATATATATATATATATATATATATATATATATATATATATATATATATATATATATATATATGTCGTACCTAGTAGCCAGAACTCACTTCTCAGCCTACTATTCAAGGCCCGATTTGCCTAATAAGCCAAGTTTTCCTGAATTAATATATTTACTATAATTTTTTTCTTATGAAATGATAAAGCAACCCTTTTCTCTATGTATGAGGTCAGTTTTTTTTTATTGGAGTTAACATTAACGTAGATATATGACCGAACCTAACCAACCCTACCTAACCTAACCTAACCTATATTTATAGGTAAGGTTAGGTTAGGTAGCCAAAAAAAGCTAGGTTAGGTTAGGTTAGGTAGGTTAGGTAGACGAAAAAACATTAATTCATGAAAACTTGGCTTATTAGGCAAATCGGGCCTTGAATAGTAGGCTGAGAAGTGCGTTCTGGCTATTAGGTACGACATATATATATATATATATATATATTAGTATATTTTGGTAGCAGTCTTTCCTGTAGACATATATTATTAAATATGACCGAAAAAGTAAGATTAATAATTCTAACACGAATTTTCTCAATCTTTCGTACATTTCTTTTCACTGCTGGTGGTAATTCAAAAATCAATTCTCCAAAATTCATTTTTATTTCTAGTCTGACGCGACACTTGAGCGCGTTTCGTAAAACTTATTACATTTTCAAAGACTTTAGTTTATACACAACTGAATAGAACCTACACATCTCCGATTTGTTTATATCTACATTTGAGTGAGGTGGATGGGGGTGAGGTGTTTTTTTTATAAGGTATTAATTTCATCAACACAAGACAGAACACGAAACAATGGGTATTGAATAGAAGTGATTGTAGAAAGCCTATTGGTCCATATTTCTTGATGTTTCTATATTGGAGCGGAGTCTTGAGGTGGGTAGAATATAGTTGTGCATTAATTGGCTGTTGATTGCTGGTGTTGACTTCTTGATGTATAGTGCTTCGCAAACGTCAAGCCGCCTGCTATCGCTGTATCTATCGATGATTTCTGTGTTGTTTACTTCTCTGGTTCGCCAGAGAAATCCTAGTACGAAACGCGCTCAAGTGTCGCGTCAGACTAGAAATAAAAATGAATTTTGGAGAATTGATTTTTGAATTACCACCAGCAGTGAAAAGAAATGTACGAAAGATTGAGAAAATTCGTGTTAGAATTATTAATCTTACTTTTTCGGTCATATTTAATAATATATATATATATATATATATAACCCCTATATATAAAAAAAAAATATATATAATATATATATATATATATATATATATATATATATATATATATATATATATATATATATATATATATATACATATATATCACTACTTTGCATATAACTCCTTTAACCTCTTTGTATATTTCCTTTATTCCTGCGTGTGCTGAGTAGTTGAGAAAAGCAGCATCCTTCAGCTCTAAACTCATGCTGACGTAGGTGGTATGGTTCGTTTTTCGTTATTTTTTCACAAAACTAGAAATATATATTTGATATGTCACCAGTATCTCAGGGTTTTCTTCCTGGCCAAAACACCAAGCTCCGGTGCTCGTCATATTTTGCATCTACATAGAAATATGGAGTTCCAAGAGTCAGGCCACATGGACGTGTGTGTGTGTGTGTGTGTGTGTGTGTGTGTGTGTGTGTGTGTGTGTGTGTGTGTGTGTGTGTGTGTGTGTGTGTGTGTGTGTGTGTGTGTGTGTGTGTGTGTGTGTGTGTGTGTTTACTAGTTGTGTTTTTACGGGGGTTGAGCTTTGCTCTTTCGGCCCGCCTCTCAACTGTCAATCAACTGTTTACTAACTACTTTTTTTTTTTTTTTTTTTTTCTTCCCACACCACACACACACACGCACACACCCCAGGAAGCAGCCCGTGATAGCTGACTAACTCCCAGGTACCTATTTACTGCTAGGTAACAGGGGCATTCAGGGTGAAAGAAACTTTGCCCATTTGTTTCTGCCTCGTGCGGGAATCGAACCCGCGCCACAGAATTACGAATCCTGCGCGCTATCCACCAGGCTACGAGGCCCCCCAGCGATGTGTGCGTGTGCGTGTGTGCGTGTGTGTGTGTGCGCGCGCGTGCGTGTGTGTGTGTGTGTGTGTGTGTGTGTGTGTGTGTGTGTGTGTGTGTGTGGTGTGTGTGTGTGTGTGTGTGTGTGTTGAGTGCGGGGGTGTTTGTGTATAGGGGGAGGGGTAGGGGGGTGTCTTGGGGCAGTGTAAGGCGTGGGAACGTGAGGGGTGAGGGTGGGTGAGTGAGGGTGAGCGGTCACCAGTGTGTGCGTGCGTGCATGTGTGTGTGTGTGTGTTTACACTGGCGTGTTATGGTGAGGAGGAGGAGGGGGGGTAGGTCTAGTCAGTGGCGGTGTAATGTAACACACAGGTGTGAGAAGCTAGTACCAAGCTGAGGCTCTTGAGCTACTTTTTCGTATTTTAATTAACTTATGTTCAAAGCTAATTACTATATAAAAAACACTGTACACCTTGTATGACTGACTTTGAGAGGCACTCACCTCCGAGTAAGCATCCCACAGCACAATTAGGTGATTTATGAAGCGATGTCCAATATTGTTGTTGACGTCCCCGCCAGAGGTCCTCCCACGTGGTGGTCCAAACTCTTCCCTTCGCAGGCCTCTGGTGCCACCGTCTTGCCACAATCTCGTTCTTTTTCAATTTTTTTCTTATCAAACGTTATAAGAATTCACTATGTTGCGTTATCACTGCGTTGCTGTACCTTTCATATGACCAAAAACTATGTTTTGGGCTCACTGGTACGTAAATATCCCGAGAATATTGAAGTAATTCGCGGACCGCACGTCCTACACTTGTTCACTGACCGCCGTCCTACTGCCTACTACTACTACTACTACTACTACTACTGTGTGTGTGTGTGTGTATGTGTGTGTGTGTGTGTGTATACATGTTGTGGGGGGTTCAAAGTTTGCGGTGTGTTCCTTGTAAAATTCCATATTTGGTTTGAAATGTAAATAGCATTAATTAAAAATAATTGTCAGCATCAACGACCTTCGTGTTGTATATCATGCTGCTAAATATACATTCATCTTGGTCTCTCGGGATTTTCCTGTTTCTTTGTCGGCCTCTAGTCATCTAAATATGACCAATACTGGAGCAGTTTTTTTTATGTAATGTTTTTTTTTTGGCATATGTGAAAAGATATTTTCGATTTATTCCTCTCTCTCTCTCTCTCTCTCTCTCTCTCTCTCTCTCTCTCTCTCTCTCTCTCTCTCTCTCTCTCTCTCTCTCAGCGAACCTAATCTGTTTTTCCTTCACTTCCCTTCCACAGCACCAACACATTAACCACCCTCCGTCCCTGGCTCCCTTCACTGTAGTCCTCTCTCCCTCCCTCACTGCCTCTCCTCTCTCCCTCACTGCCTCTCCTCTCTCCCAACAGCCGAGGCAGCGGTATGGTAGTTACGAGGAGGTGTGCGAGCGGTCCACGGGTCGGGTGAGGCTGTGCAACTGGGTGCGCTTCCTGGCCTACTCCCTCCACTTCACTCCTCATGTCAACATGGTCGCCTCCCGAGTCAGGGGTGAGTCTCTATGTGGGGAGGGTCTGGGGGGTGACTGAGTAGGTGAGTCACTATGTGAGGGTCTGGGGGGGTGACTGAGTAGGTGAGTCACTATGTGAGGAGGGTCTGGGGGGGTGACTGAGTAGGTGAGTCACTATGTGAGGGTCTGGGGGGGGGGGTGACTGAGTAGCTGAGTCACTATGTGAGGAGGGTCTGGGGGGTGACTGAGTAGGTTAGTCACTATGTGAGGGTCTGGGGGGGGGGTTGACTGAGTAGGTGAGTCACTATGTGAGGGTCTGGGGGGGTGACTGAGTAGGTGAGTCACTATGTGAGGGTCTGGGGGGGTGACTGAGTAGGTGAGTCTCTATGTGGGGAGGGTCTGGGGGGGGTGACTGAGTAGCTGAGTCACTATGTGAGGGTCTGGGGGTGACTGAGTAGGTGAGTCACTATGTGAGGGTCTGGGGGGGGTGACTGAGTAGCTGAGTCACTATGTGAGGGTCTGGGGGGGGTGACTGAGTAGGTGAGTCACTATGTGGGGAAGGTCGGGGGGGGTGACTGAGTAGGTGAGTCACTATGTGAGGGTCTGGGGGGGGTGACTGAGTAGGTGAGTCACTATGTGAGGGTCTGGGGGGGGTGACTGAGTAGCTGAGTCACTATGTGAGGGTCTGGGGGGGTGACTGAGTAGGTGAGTCACTATGTGGGGAAGGTCGGGGGGGGGTGACTGAGTAGGTGAGTCACTATGTGAGGGTCTGGGGGGGGTGACTGAGTAGGTGAGTCACTATGTGAGGGTCTGGGGGGAGTGACTGAGTAGCTGAGTCACTATGTGAGGGTCTGGGGAGGGGTGACTGAGTAGGTGAGTCACTATGTGGGGAAGGTCGGGGGGGGGGGTGTGACTGAGTAGGTGAGTCACTATGTGAGGGTCTGGGGGGGGTGACTGAGTAGGTGAGTCACTATGTGAGGGTCTGGGGGTGGTGACTGAGTAGGTGAGTCTCTATGTGGGGAGGGTCTGGGGGGGGTGACTGAGTAGGTGAGTCTCTATGTGAGGGTCTGGGGGGGGTGACTGAGTAGGTGAGTCACTATGTGAGGGTCTGGGGGG